CGGCCCCACCTGCAGCGGCTCCGCCTCAAGCTAAGTCAGCAACTCTGCCTCAAGCCAAGTCAGCGTCTCCGCCTGCAGCGACTCCGCCTCAAGCCAAGTCAGTGGCCCTGTCTGCAGCGGCCCTGTCTGCAGCGGCTCCGCCTCAAGTCTAGTCACGGACACGCCTCAAGCCAAGTCAGCGGCCCTGCCTGCAGCGGGCCTGCCTCAAGCCAAGTCAGCTGCCCCGCCTGCAGCGGACCTCCCTCAAGCCAAGTAAACAGCCCCGCCTGCAGCGGCCCCGGCTCAAGTCAAGTCAGCGGCCCTGCCTGCAGCGGCCCCGCCTCAAGCCAAGTCAGCGGCCCCACCTCAAGTCAAATCAGCGGCCCCACCTGCAGCGGCTCTGTCTGAAGCCTAGTCAGCGGACCCGCCTCCAGAGATGCTGTTTCCAGTGGACCCACCTCCAGAGATGCTGGTTTCCGCAGTTCAGCCTCCAGGCAAGTCAACACCTACGTCTCCTCTCCAGCTGGCGCCTTCGTCTCCTCCACCCCAGTCGGTGCCTTTGGCGTCTCCACTCCAGCCGGCGCCGTCGGTGTCTCCACTCCAGCCGGCGCCTCCGGCATCTCCACTCCAGCTGGCTCCTCCACTCCAGCCAGCGCCTCCACTCCGGTCCAGCCAGTGCCTCCACTCTGGTCAGTGCCTCCACTCCAGTGAGCGCCTCCAGTCACCACCAGCCTTGTCCTCGCCCATCATCTCCTGTGCCCCAGATGCCGGCCCCCCAAACTCTGGTGTCGCCTCCTGTGCCCCAGACGCCGGCCCCCCAGACTCTGTCTTGGCCTGTGTTGGGCATCCGGTGCCACCCTTTGGGGGGTGGGTGGGGTGGGGGGTGGGGGGGTACTGTCACAACCTGTCCTGTCTCCCCATTCTGTTCAGTCCTGTGTGCATGTTAATTGCTCCCACCTGCCTCTCGTCTACTAATAACTCAAAGTCCCAGCTCCTCCTGTATTTAAACACTCTCAGTCCTGTTTGTCTTGTCGGATCATTGTTTCTAAGTCTCGCGTGACTTTATTAAAATTCTTTAAAAAGTTCCTGTCTGCCTGCCTGCCTTCTTCCCCTGAACTTGGATCCTCACCTCCGCTCACCTCACCTGCGCGCTCGTGACAGAAAAACTATGTGGGCACATCATCCTCATCAACAAATCTTGAGTGAAGTTTCCTCTTTCTAGAAGATTTTATGGTTTCTTCCATTATTTACAAAACAAATCTACTATATAAAATATAAAAAATCCTCCGTGAAAAACGCACCTAAAAAAAAGACGAAGTACGGGTCATAAAACGAGTAAAAAAAAACAGCAAAGCGATGTCAAATAAGACTAAATATATTCTAAAACTACTAAATAACAACATAAAGTAAGATATTTACTGAAAATAACAATTATTTACACCAGTAGATGAGATAGAAGTTGAAAATACACGTCCAAAACAATTCATCCCCTCCTCTATGGAGAGAGACCTGACTGCAGCATGCAGAAAGGCGTCAGACTAATGCCATATTTGGAAAATACAACACTTACATTCCGGAACTGAAAAACAACTCATCCTGTCTACAAAGACACCTGTGATGCAAGGTGTGAGTGTACTAGGCACCACTGGCAATGTGTCAAATCCAGTGGTGTGTCAGACTGCAGTGTAGTTTTGCACAGGTTCGCCTCCCAGTTGTTTTCATTTTTTAACAACATTTACCAGTATTATGTTTTCAAACCTTTACTGGTGAACTGTTTAAAATATAAGGACTAATCTGTTCTATACTTTCTTTGTTTATTTAGCCAGTGTGAGTCCATGTGTGAGCAGAGACTCAACTAAATGGCTGCTTAGAAACGACCAAATTCAAAGAATTTTAGAGACAAAATATTTTGCAGAAAATTCTCCAAGAAAACTAAAATATAAATAAATGAAATCGCTTTCAGCTGGCCAAATAAATCACTGATGACATCACCTAGAGTCGAACCAGTGTCAGCAGAAGGCGAAACAAAACAAAAGTCAAACAATAATGCCACTGGATGTCATGTTGAGTGTATTGGAGGTGATGGACCATGTGTGGTGGAGAGTTCAGGAGGGAGGAGAGCAGGCACGGATGAAAAATAAAAATGGTTTTAATGGCGGAATGGGAACGACAGGAACAAAACAACGGTGACTACAAACAATGATCTGACAAAGGACATAACGAGACGGGAGGTATAAATACACTGAGGAAAATAAGGAACACATGGGCAGGTTAACAAGGGGCAGGTGAAACCAATAGGGACTGATCAGGCAGGAGAGGGACACAGTCAGGAAGGCAGGGGCAGATCGTGACAGTACCCCCGTTAAGGGGCGGATACCAGACGCCCACAAGGCCACACAACACAGGAGACTCGGGAACACTTGACTCGGGGGAACCAGGGAACACTTGACTCGGGGTAACCAGGAAACACTTGGCTCAGGGGAACCAGGAAACACTTGGCTCGGGGGAACCAGGAAACACT